GTAAAGCAATAACGAACACAACATTCCTGAGTTATCTATAAAGAAACGATGTAATATCACAAAGAGTCCATGTATAAAAGTTGCGCTCATTTTAAGAAAACTTTATGTAGCTTCCAGTTCTTCTGCAATTGTACACATTTTCTAAAAAAAAACGTGTGACGGACCATTGTATCTCAATCATCACTTATTTCATATTCTCTTCCAAAGTATCTTGTGTATTTTGTAATCAATTAATGAGTCCACTCCCCAGTTCTAATGCTGTCCTTCCTATTGTTATTACTTTACTTTTACGAAAATATTTATGATGTCTCATTTCTTTTTCTTTTGACTAGACTTATAACTAAACATCTGATCGGTCACATTAAATAAATATAGATATAACTTGGTAGTGCATCATTTATTGATTTCAGGTGTTTCTGTTTGTAAGTCTTTTGAATAAACTATTGCTGATACAGATCAAATAATTTTGTCTAAATAGGTTGATGATTAGAAATAGCGAATATGTTCTCTCACTGGTACAGGATAATGTTTTTTTTTAAATGAAAATAGATGTCTATGATTGTGAAAGCGGGTATGTTTGAGGACAAAAACGACACACACACCTTTGAACAATTTCGAGGACATTGAAGCTTCGTAGTGGATGGCGCAAATTTCTGGACATACGAGTGAAGGTCTTTTCTTCACCACTAGTCTCATTCACACACTTATAAGAACATTCTCAACGATTTTGATGACAGACAGTATCAAATCGAAAACTGCGTATTGATTTTACGTATACGACTATTGAGGAAAATCACACTATATGATAGGTTTCAGGCTTTTTAACATGACTTTTTAAACAAAAACTACTAGAATCGAAGTAGCTGGTGATCTAAGTTGTATAATTCTAGATCAATTCATCCTTCGAAACATTTAGAGCCGAATTATGTGTTTTTCTGCTGATTCGATACACACCGTCGTGAGTCTGATGACAATACGTCTCGATAATTATGATTGACGCAACTGCGTATATCAATTCAAGCTTTGATTTCATCCAGGTCTATGTGAATTGAAACAGTAAAAAGAACTCAAATGATGGTCAGCATTCGATCGGTACCCAGATCAACAAATGAATTCTAAAGTAAAATACACATTGGTTTTATCGTTGCATGACATTTAGACTGTAACTTGTAATTTAATCGATGATAACCATGATCCTAAACTGGTGAATTCTGCTGATCAATTTTTCCGTGAATCGTACAGACTGCAGTATAATTCACCTGTATTCACCCAGTAGTATTCAACAAACTAAAATATGCTTCGAAATAAGTCAATTATTTTGTCGACGGTTTTTCCTTAGTTTTATTGTTTCTGTTAACTATCAAAATCATTTTAAATTTCGAAATTTTGAGTTATGATCCATTTTTAGCAATGATTCTTTTGCAGTATTGATTTGTGATTAAAAACAAACAATATGTTTTATTTCAAATCGTATAGATGGCATATAATTCATAGTAGTTCTAATACGTAGTTTATTGAAATTATCATTCGAAAACGATTTATTCAATTAGAAAAATTGCGCAATATCGAGAGATGCATTGTTCGATAGGTCACAAGCAAAAACAAGAGATTTTGATAGAAGTGTCGTAGATTTGATGTATTTTCAAATCGGTGATGTAATTTTTTCACATCGTATTGGTCATAAATAATTAGTTTCAGTTACCCGCTGCCGTAGACAATGAGTGATTATGTTTACTTAACCTTCGGTCAAATTATTACAAAAAAAGCAATATCTTTATATTCGTGTAAAACGTTTCCATCTTATTTTAGTTTCATGTCGCAGAGATTGGGTTGAAAGCTTTTTTCTGTATGGCTTATATTTATATATTGTTTCTGAATTATATTCTTTTATTTCTTTTTAAAGATCATATTATGATGTCAATAGGTTTGGTAGGGCTGATTTATTTACCGGGTAGAGCCACCCAGGCGATACCTAATGGCTTTGCCGTTTTACTGAAATCCGTGCATTCACCATCACCACGACCTGTAAAACCACCAGAAGGAGCACAAATATAAGTGCATTCTTCGTCGTAAAGAGGATTCATTCGATCACAACAATTGCTAGTCGCCAGATAGGTCAATTTGCCGCGATACAAATACTTGTCAATTCGAGTAAATTGATACCATACAGGTCCATCTGGGATGGGATGAATCATTTCTTGAAGGCATGTCGGAATCTCAGCTTTAGCCGATGATAGTGATAGAAGGACAATAACAACTGCAGTAAGACAAATAATGGAACTGTTCATATTTTGATTGATCAATCGACACTTGTTAAAAAGTGAAACCAAATTTGTCAGTATATTTTGTTAAATTGAAGCATTATAAAATATTTTGCTTGTTTGCTCCACAGCCACCTGTGTGCCGCTCACATAAGGGAGCGAAGTGCACTTTTGTGTTCGATAGCAGCTTTATGTATATTTGTACTATGATTCACAATTGTTATTGTAGTGCGTCGATGCACACCTATCGAACTACAAAACGTGGCATCGTTTTTTTTTACTGATTTAATGTATTGCGCATTGAATAGTACTATTTTCTTTCGATTGTCTTGTAGTAGATATGAAACGAACGACGCTGATGTTTTGAACCTGGTTTGATCTACTCTGAAAATACATTCGAAACCCTTAAAACTTTGACTCAGCGTATATCTTACTGACATAAGTCAATCCTGAAAATTTTGGCCAGTTCCATTGAGATGAGATTTGACTTAATTATACTCGTCATCAAATTTTTATTCATGACGGTCGTCACTCTCAAGGGTAAAATACAGCAGACAATATCGTTCTTCACTATTACTTGTTAGGGAGAAACTTTTTTTGTCGGATCAACTAGATAAAAATACCAGCAAGAAACTTATCTGAATAATCAATTGAAAATATACTGTCTATCAGTACTCGTGTGAAACACATTTCTAAAGTCAGATGAATGGTACACGTTCGCTAAATCTCTCGCCTATTGATTTCTATTATACCGTGTGTAAGCAGAGTTCGGTCACTGAAATAAGACAACAAAGAACAACTGTGTGCGGATAACTGCATATGAAGTCTTAATCGAATATTTCTTTTTGTTTTTCGGTCGAAAATGATACGTTACAGGGCACGTTTTCTACATACATGTATTGAATTCTGTTTAGAATCATCAGGAATATTTCTTAGTGATTTCTCTTATATAGTAATATATTTATTTCAAAAAGCTCGACCGTTAAACTTATAAAAATAGGATTCATACTTCATGAGACTATCTTTCTTGATAGGGGAATCTTCTTCAGGTGTATTCTGACAGAGAGAAGACTTTCAAGTTAACATAAAGCTAAGATAGCACAATGTTAAAATATGATTTATTGCATGATAATTGCTTCTTACCCAGAATGTTTCATTCTTTCACACAGTTTTTATAACTTGCCACTATAATGTTTTTACTCGATATTCAACATTGACTATTTTACTCTTGGTCAGGCTAAAATAAGGCATGTCCCAGAACTTCTATAAAAATTTTGAAATTCTTAGTTCTCACTTTCAACAAAGGCAAACTTTTTGAAACTTTGGCAGATTATTATACATATCAAATACTGCATAACTGCAAACTTTCAGCTCTATACCTGATGCTATACATGAAAACTAGTAACAACATTATCATGTACTGTTTTTTCAATTTTCCTGATCATCTTTCGAATATGCGAAAATGTTTTGCAACATTTCTTATTTTGCCTATGTGTCAGCTTAGATAGATGATACAATCTTGAATTTTCTTTTAAAGATGCGTCATAAGCAGCTGCAGAATAATTGTAATAACTAATCCCTATTGACTTGTGTTAATAGTTTCTACAATTCTCAAAATGGAAAAACCTATATGATAGTGCTATACTTCTCACTATACTATACATAATAAATAAATGTGTGGAAGACTTTGGTTTTCCAATAGGAATTTGTTCATAGAGTTTTTGTAGAGCTTTCAACGGCGCACCTTTTGAAAAAAAAATCAAGGTATTTTCATTTTCTCAACCTGAGATGCAAGCAAAATAAAAAGGTCTTCCAAACATTTGTTTATTATGCACAGTATGGTGAGAAGTAGTCCTATAGGTTTTTCCATTTTGAGTATGGCAGAACACAAGTCAATAGGAATTAGTTATTACAATTTTTCTGCAGCTTCTTATGGCATATTTTTTTTGAAAAATTTAAGATTTCATTATCGACCTAAACTAAGTATAGGCAAAATAAAAAAATGTTGCAAACATTTTGGCATACTCCAAAGATGATCAAGAAAATTGAAAAAAACAGTACATGATAATGTTGTTACTGGTTTTCATATACAGTGCAAGCTACAGACCTCAAACGTTGCAGTTATGCAGTACTTGATATGTACACTAGTCTGTCAAAGTTTCAAGGAGTTTGCTTTTATTGAACGCGAGAGTGATGAATTTCAAAATTCTAAAATAACTGCTAGGACATCCATTATTAAGCCTACGGTTCAAGATGCTGAAAGATATGAACCTGATGAGTGTCCTGTCGGAAACATTTCATCAAAACTTTAGTCTCTGTAATATGCTGTTGAACAAATACGCCAACAAATAATTTTACGAACAGATACATCAAAATCGATTTGACTCAAAGAATTCGGGTTTAGCACTTCAGACAACGGGAGACTTTTCAGTTTATCACGATATATTAATATATGGAGTGTGCTATCGAAATTATCCAATAACAATAGTCATTTGTGCTTGTTGCTTGTTATTATGAGTGAAGTGATCAAGGACCAACAGCTCAGTGAAAAGGCACTTTTGATCTATTCTCTAAAGAATTCACGAACAAAGAAAGTATAGCCAAATGTTTATGAGAAAAGTCAAATGTAAGCTACAATCAAAATCATCTTCACGACCACCTCAATCAACTATATAGACTCCACCAGCTATCTATCCTAATGGTGTTATTGATATATATGTGCCTCATTTTTTATGGCCAAGTGTGGCTAATATAGAACTTTATTATCTCTGGGTTAATGATTATACATTTCCAAACATTAGAGGAAGAATCATGGAGAACTTGACGCCAGTTTAGATTAATTGTCCCTTAAATGATGGTCAATTTTGTCTATTCACATCATCCATTCAATGTGCTGAAAATGGTGGCAAATGGTGGGCGAGAGCATTTTTTCATGATTGTAGAAAAATAAACCATTGCTGATGCACTCTTCCGTAGGAAATAAAATTGTTTTTGATTCGTGTTTGATTAAGGCTTCAATAAAACGAGAGAAAAACATAGAAGCGAAAGTATCTGCAGACAATCTTCAACTTTTTCATTGTATGCACTCCGCAAGACAAGTTAAACTTCAATTTTCATCCGTTATTCGAAATATCATCGATGAGTAAAGCATACTATTCGATACCAAATAGCTTGATCAATAGGGAGAGCACTTATGGTGATCTTCAATAAAATAAAAACGACAATAATAATAGTAGAATAAAAGGAATGATTGAGATTACCGTAAAGATAATACCTTGAACAAGGAGTAGTAATCAACTATCTATCAGACATGAACTAGGTAGGAGTAGAGAATTAGCAGCAGAAATAACTTTCCTAATCGTATATTAGTGTAGAAGACAACTCTTAATACGAATAATTATCATCATCTACAGATCGATCATCATCATTGAATACGGCACGCCGTGACTGTCTCTTGTGTGTTTTTAAAAATATTGTTACTGAGGCTCAGTAGAAGTAAAATACTGAAGGCGCAATCAAGAAACCATTAAAAAAAACTGTTTTAGGATGGTGCTAATTTTATAAGATCTGTAAAACTTCAGAAATACAATATTTTCAAGAGAAAAGAAAACGACGCATCCCACTTTGATCGAAGTACTCGTTAAAAAGTTTGAGCACAATCTTCCGTATCATGTAGAAGAATAAGGGACAAACTTCATTTTTCTTTTGTTTGGAAATCTTATTTTGAGAAAATCGGAAAGAAAGTTGCACTTTTTGGCTTTTTTAGCAAAGAATGGAGTTTTTTCGACGTTTTACATGCTCAAATTTAAGTCTACATACCAAACATTGAAAATGAAAAACGAAAAAGTGAATATTTTAATCGGGATAGGAAGAGTTCCGTTGAATCACATGTACCAATGTGCAGTAAGCTTCTTTTAATGTTTTCGTGAATCAATTCGTAATTTGATGTTATCTGAAGAAAATAAACTGGAAAATGCAGCTCGAAATCTTTGTTCTCTGAAATAAATCCGCTCTATACTAATGAATTGTTTCAGAGAATAAAGACGAAATAAAACATTGCATGAAGATTGAACTGTTTGATTCATCAAATCAACTGTGAAAGTGTCAATCAGGGGAAATGCTATATAACATATTCGATTGATGAATCATTTGACTTCGAAAAATGTTTATTTATTTTATAGAGATCATTTTTGAAAGACCATATAAAACTAATTCTTGACAGTAGCAATATTCTTAATCTTGTTCATCAATATTATATTTGAATTGCATCAATGTAAATAAAGTGCAATCTTCTTCGTTTCTTATGTTTATGACCATGCATATTTAGTGACTTTATTCTGCAAGCATAAGTGTGCAAAAAATAGATTTGATTAAAAGTGTGAGATTCGAATCTGCCTCGATCAAACACAATACTGTTTAGATTTCGTGTAAAAACTCATTACAATCGATTATTAATAATGAAACTCTAGGGAATGAATATTTAGATACTTCATCAAACTATTTCAATGATGATCTTTGTTCATAGCTGAGAGTTTTAGTGATAACATTGAGTGAAATTTCAAAATCGTAGTCATCAATCACTGTTATACGTATTTTTAGGTTTTATCAAGTTCATTATCAAAGATTTCGATTGATAGATCAACAAAAGAGTATGGGTGTATGCGTGAATCTTCTCTCCCTCCTCACTCTGACATCAACTGTCATATGAATACTCTCAAAATGGTTATATGATAGGTTATTTGATCAATACTTAGTGCTTGATCAGATTGATTCAGTAATATCGAAATATATAGTATTGTGACTATTGTATTCACTGTGTAAAAAAAAAGTGATATCTTTTTTTATGATGTTCGTTTCTCCACAATGACTATATATTTATTCTTCACAATAACAAAAAGTCGATCGAACATGTGGTCTATTCATTAACAAACTTGTTAGTAAACAAACGGCATGCTTGATAGGTTTTTTTGTTATTGCGAAAGATACACATATTGTCATACTATGAAAATGAATGTTATATGTTGTTA